ACAAAAACAGTCTAAAAGTTTGAGGTGAGGTTTGGCAAATTGCCAACAGTTGGTTGTGACCTTATAACGGTATAACGTTTGCGTAGGAGCTGCTTGCGTCGTTTTCACAATCGAAGGGAACTATTTCGCCAGTTTCGCCATTGACTGAAGTAATACGCTCTGATAGTCGACTTTTCTGTATTCTCTCACCACTACCACTAACTCACCTGTAAGCATCCACTATTTGTTCAATTCTCTTTTCCCTCTTTTTCCGTTCCATGTAAAGGCGCTGCTGATTGGAGCACAGTGGCAGAGGCGCAAGCCATCGCCCTTCGCTCCGCCCTGCCGCCGCGGTGACGTCAAAAAACCGCGCCGCATACGAGCATGGGTGAGTTTTTTATTGTGCGGAAGGTAGACACTCGTCCTAGTTATTGATGACGATGATGATGATTACCTTTTAGATTGAAGGATTCGTTTAGTGAAGGAAAATCTGGTCTGGATTTTTGTTAAGGTGTTGCAGAACTTTTTCCAACGAAATAGTTGGTTGGAGTACGGTAGCACATGTGCGTGACATTAGGTAAGTTATCTCCACTTGTCGGGACACGATACATGAACGGCATTGAAGGCAGTTGACAGGATAAGTCCCTAATTATCAGGATTAATACGCCTGGCAGGACGGAATGCCGCGCCCCTGAACAGATCCTACGTTGCGCCTTCTCCCAAGAAAAGTACCCTTATAAGGTCCTATAAAGCTGCTACATAATGAGTAGGACGCCTACCGCGCCCGCCCGCCCACAAATGTCCGACCGATGCTGATGCTCGTATCGCTTCATTTGCGAAGTACAATATAAGCGAAGGGATTGATATGAAGCGGCTGCGGTACTGCCTGAATATAGGAGTGCTACATGCAGCCGTATGAAAACTCGTCCGAAGTTACTTTTTAAATCGTGTATCATGCCGGTCGCCTATACTTCGAGAATACCCCATTCCATCAAAAGAGATCTTGTAGTTGCTGCTAGTGGTCGATGGTCGACTCTTGAAGACTTGAAGGCAATTGGCACGTTGAATCCCGAGGACATACAGGACTAATAGGCCACGACAGAACTCGGCGCCCTTGAAGGCACTGCGTGGCGCCTTTTCCGAAGAGGGTACCCTTTCAACACCCTGTCAAGTTGAAGCATACCAACCCGAATGCCTACCGTGCCCGCCCACCCACGAATGGAACGATGTGGGACGACCGTACGCCACTGGGCTCGATATTTGCGTTCTGTTGAAGTACACAGTAAGAATGTTTGAACGCGGAAGGGATTTACGTGAAGCGACCGGCGTTCGCATGGTATACATGCGAAGTACATAAGTGCAGACGTATCTACCGCATGGGTTACTATAACATTTGATGCCGTACGGTGGACTCGTCTCGAAAGTGCTTTTGAGGAATGAGGACTAGACTTTCTTGCAGTTGTTTTTTTGACGCGTTTCTTGCGGTTTCATAGCGCATTTTTCCCCAATAGATAGCACCCTTTCAGCATTTGGGGCCCGAATACCAAATTATCGTGCCGTAGGCCTTCAAAGGGAAATTCCGCGATCTGAGATAATCTGAGCAGTTGGGCTCATGTAAGAATGCCAAGATGCCTAGAAAGCTCAACTCTGCACTTAACCGCGGGGCGTGCCTTTGAAGACAGTTTATGCTTACACGTTTACCATAGAGGGATCATGTAAGTGATACCTCTCGTATTTTATAGAGGAACTCAGACCTGATCGTTTCAGGCGTGCCGACATGGATGTCTCCCATCGAGATGTGAATGCGTTGCTGCACTGGACTACGTACGAGACAAACATGGTGCCTGCATAAAAATCTCGGATTGTGATGTCCCAACAATGATGGTCGCCTTCGAATCTGGAGGAGCATATCAAAAAATATTTGGGAAGCTTTTCATTCAGGACAAAGAAGAAGGTTCACAAAGCCCTGGTTCAGAAGCAGTAATGGCAGGTCATCATCCCTCCGAAGTTGAGGGTGTTCACAGTTATCCACCCGAGAATCCTCCTTCACGTATGGAATTTCGCGGCTACCGCACTAGATATCAGGAAAACAGACGTACTATTCACTATCCGCCAGAACCTCGTCGTCACGACATTCCTCCCTATGGTAATCTTCAACGAAAAACTGTCGTCCATAGTTGGCCTCCCGAAGTCCACAGTTGGCCTCCCGAAGCCCATAGTTATCCTCCCGAAGTCACGGGTGTCTATAGTGAAGCTATGAGGTTTTCTGAAAAAAAGACACCCGGCTATTTTCCTGTGCCGATCGTTAGTGACTATGGTAACGCAGCGTCACACCTATCAGGGTTGTTTTACTATGAGGGAGAGCCGGAACGTCGTGAGCGGTCAAGAGATTACAACCCTTACAATCCCCTGCGCTACGAAAAGGCCAAAGTTTTATCAAGACGGAAAATATCGAGCCTTTTGAAGCAGCTAACACCAGAGGAGCGAATGTCACTACGGGACGATGGGGGCAAGGCCTCTCTTCGAGAAGTTGCAAACGCGTTGACTCTATTCGATTTTTTGGAAAAGGAATCCAATCAGATGGTCCAGGAAAAAAAAGGAACTCAGATAGGCACCACTCGACCCGGGCCTCCACAGACCACTACCGCGCCAACAGGAAGTCATAGCATAAATGGAGTGGTCACAAGGGCTCACGGAGCGTTTGAGACGACTCCACCGCAACCCAGCCCCAACCTGAATGAAAAGTTCACAATGGAGCCTGAAGGCGAACCATCTTCTGCGCAGTCGGCAACAGTCTCGACAACTACTAAGAATGTTCCTGGCTCAGTTGAGAATGACTCCCTCACTCCAGCGACTGCATCGACTGAAACGTCTATGCAACCGAATTCAAACAAGGTTCCAAATAGCCCTTCTACCACTAATAAAGACAACCACGTGAATGTGACAGTGTCTTCCAGAAACACTTCAGCTGCTGCGTCACCAACCGTGATCTCTAATATTTTCATTGCGAGCCAGTCTCGCGTCATAAGTGGAAACGGAGCACCTCAGGGAGCAACAACGCCCCCCACTGTCGCTTCAAACCTAGTAGTTTCCAACACCGTGACGCAAGTGGCCCCAGTTACCTCAGTTTCGTCGCCTAGCGCTACAGTCGCCACAGAACCTTCCGCAGCAGCAAATCATAACCGCCCCACACAGGAGAATGGAGCCTCACAGAAATCAACACCTTCCACTGTCGCTCCAAGCCTAGTAGGTTCCAGCACCGCTACAAAAATGCCTTCAGGTAACTCAGCTTCGGCGCATAGCACCACAGTCGCCAAAGAACCTTCCCCAGCAACAAATCATAACCGCCCTACACAGACGAATGGAGTCTCACAGGAAACAACATTCCCCACTGTTGCTCCAAGCCTAGTAGGCTCCAACACCGTGACACAAATGGCCCCAGTTACCTCACCTTCGATGCTTAGTGCTACAGTCGCCAGTGAACCTTCTTCTACAACGAATCACTTCCACCCTACCCAAGAGAACGGACCCTACCCAAGAGAACGGAGCCACTCGCGAAACAACAACAACAACAACACCTCCCACTCTTGTTCCGAGCCGGTAGGTTCCCGAAGGCGTGGCACAACAGACTACGAAGACGTCATCTGCGACACTGAACACTACAGTTCGTCACTGCACCTCCCATCAGAGTGGACCCAGCACCACTCCCCGCAGCAGACCGGCACGCCTCAGGAAGCGACTCCTGCACGTACGGAGGGTTGGAGTGGTACAGTGATGAAATCTGTTTCTCCACACTCGAGAGTTGTCGAGCAGGCAGTTGCGTTATTTTACCGCCATCGCCATTCCCCTCCACCGATCAACAATTCAATCCTCAATTGCAGAAATATGCCGTGTCATCCCAAGTGCATCAGCCTGTACGTCAGCAATCAGGCCAATCAGGTGAGCGTTTATGCTTTCCCAAACAACAGTTGAATACAATATATTGTTTAAAATAAGGTTAGCTTTAGAAGCAGCGATCACGTGGTTGATACGAAAGTTACATATACTCATATCCTGGTTTTGAGGGGGCGTGGTTGCTCACTTCATTAAAAATAGCATAGGATACGCTGTCGTGGGTTATTT